GGAAGTTAAACATTAACTCCAGATAAGATAAATGGGTCATTGTTCTCTTACCACATGGTGACAAAGAAAGGCTTTCATAACGGATGCTTCGTTCAGAAACTCTATCCTCTCCCTCATGCTGGCCAGCTCATTGACGGTCTTCAAGGCGACCCTGGTCATGGGCTCCCCCTTCACAATTTCCTTGGCAACACCTTCATATACCATGCCAAAAGAACCTTGTCCAAGCTCCTTCATGATGGTGATGCTCTCTCTTGGGAATTCCCACTCATCCGGAATGTACACTAGAACATAGAAGCAACATTAAAATGGTCTTCTGACACAGGTTGGCCAATGTTAGAAGAATAAAACTTAAAGTGGAACTAAACCTCTTTCTATCCGCCGAGGACGGCACCATCACAGCCTCTGTTTAGAGTAGCAGCGGCTATGGTGCTAGAGAGACCGGTCATGGCACTGGCCATTTGTGGGCTTTAGAAGATTGGATGGGGCCCAACATGAGCTCACTGGCAACTGAGAGTCATCACAAGAGGGATGCCTTCAATGTGGCATACACCAGCGTTTCTCAACCTTTTTTCATTCATGGCACTCTTTAAAATTAGGCAAAAATCACAGAGCAACCCAGTCTAAAATGTAAAAATGTCCCTCCAAAATGTATACCAGACCCTTATTCAAGGGTCTTTATGGGGGGAACCCCAAGCAAAAAGGCAAAAAAGATCCACTTTACATCAAGAGCCCACCTTCTTATTAGGGGCCCTCCTCACACTAGGAGTTCCTCTTTACATTAGAGTCACCCCTTTCACATCAGAGTTCATATTAACATGAAGAGCCCACCTTCTTATTAGGAGCCCTCCTCACACCAGGAGTCCCTCTTTACATCAGAGTTCATATTAACATGAAGAGCCCACCTTCTTATTAGGGGCCCTTCTCACACTAGGAGTTCCTCTTTACATTAGAGTCCCCCCTTTCACATCAGAGTTCATATTAACATGAAGAGCCCACCTTCTTATTAGGGGCCCTCCTCACACTAGGAGTTCCTCTTTACATTAGTCACCCCTTTCACATCAGAGTTCATATTAACATGAAGAGCCCACCTTCTTATTAGGAGCCCTCCTCACACCAGGAGTCCCTCTTTACATCAGAGTTCATATTAACATGAAGAGCCCACCTTCTTATTAGGAGCCCTCCTCACACCAGGAGTCCCTCTTTACATCAGAGTTCATATTAACATGAAGAGCCCACCTTCTTATTAGGAGCCCTCCTCACACCAAGAGTTCCTCTTTACATTAGAGTCCCCCTTTGTCACATCAAAAGCCCCCTTCCCTTCACATAAGAAGCACTCTTCTCATTGGAGGCATGACGATGTGAACCCCCGAGGAAGCCAAAAGGCACCCTGGCTGAGAAAGCTTGGCAAACACTGCGTGTGCACCAGTAGGCAGGATGAAGATTAAAAAACTGCAGGATACACCAATATGATTAAGGATTTAAAGGAGAACTATGAGGTCAGGGCTTGTCCCCATAGTTCTCTTTAGGGTAACGGGAGGACACAAACTAGCGTCCTCCCGTCACCCTAAGCTCAGTATATAGGGAGCTACAGCTCGCGGTATACTGAGACGCCGCAGCTGAAGCGGATCCCGACAATTGTGGCTGGATCCGCCCAGCTGCGCGAGTGACAGCTGGCTCCGCCTATCTAGAGGCAGAGCCAGCTGTACCCGCCCCCTCCCCCGTCTGTTCCACCAGTCAGTTCTGGAGGACCGGAGCAGTGAAGAGGGGAATCCCTGCGGGGAGCCGTGACTGACAGTCACCTCTCTCTGCAGGGACATGCTCGAGAAGTGAGCGAGCCACGGTATGTGTTCGCTCACTTCCCGATCTATTGAGCCGACCTGTTACAGTTTCATTGTCACACGTCAGCTCCAACTATGAGGCTGAGGTGATTTTCACTGGCCTCATAGTTCTCCTGTAATATTTATTGAACATTTCTCATGGGAAACAGGTTAAACCAGAACAAAACTCACCAATCCACCTAACAACTTGACCCCAAGTCCTTCCAGTCCATGGACCTTACGGCTACAGTCTCTCATCACCAATGTTACATAGTACTTTTGGCAAAGTAAACCATTCACATAAAGTACATTTATTTGAACTCTATTATTTAGTTGAACTTTGAAGGAATGATGTATCCTTCTTCTGCTCTCCAAGCAAGTGGTTTCTTAAAAATGATGGAGGCATCCTTCCCGAGAAGCAACATGCGCTCTACTTGACCGATTTTCACGTGGCTGCCAATGTTTAAGGGGCCTATTGAATGGGAGCCGTAGAGATCTTCAACGTACGGCAGAAAGTATGTTTTCTGTATTGTAATAGGATCATGGGTTGTCCTAGGTTGAACAGTGAAGGAGTAAAGACCTTGGTCTTTACTCAACCTTACATACTACGTAATATTCTCATACTCACTTTCCGATGCGCTGAAATACTCTGGGTTGACCGACGCGTACAAGGTCCCATTTGGGTAGCCGTCATTCTTTCTGTGAATAAAAGGCAAAGAACCCTTTCAAATAATAGTCACTTTATGGATTCCATCACATAGCGAACTGGCCTTCCTACAGTGCACAGGGGTGGTGGGGTCCTACATGAATCTTGTGAGTCTTTGCTCCTCTTTCTAATGCCGATAATACCCAAAATGTCTTCTATCTGTGCCCTACAGATCAGTGTAACACAGGGGGGCCTTCACAGACCCCCTCATCTTTAATGTACATTCTTCCAGCTTGGAGATCTTACTCCAAGAGGTTGATGTACCCAAGACACTCCAGAAATGATTAGGTCTTACAGTGTCAGGTTATTCCAGCTGCCGCTAAATGCTGGGAAAAGTTGACTTTTGATATTCCAGACATGGGCCATCCTTATTATTATACAGGATTTATAGAGCGCCAACAGTTTGCGCAGCGCTGTACAATATAAGGAAGACATTACAATCAAAATACAATTCAAGACATGATGGTAAGGGGGGCCCTGCCCCTGAGGGATTACAATCTAAAAGGGGGAGGGGCAAGTGATACATGAGGAGGGAGCTGTGTGGGGGATGAATTGTCTGAGAACGTGATGGTTGAGTGGTCAGTTTGAGGTGGGATAGGCTTCCCTGAAGAGATGAGTCTTAAGGGATCGCCTAAAGGCAGTCAGAGTGGGAGATAGACAGACAGGTTGGGGTAGGGAGTTCCATAGGATGGGTGAGACTCTAGTGAAGTCCTGGAGTCGAGCATGGGAGGAGGGAACTGGAAAGCAGGAGGTCTTGGGAAGAGCGGAGCGGACGGTTAGGGTGATACTTGGAGGCGAGGTTGGAGATATATCCGGGGGCGGAGTTGTGGATGGCTTTGTAAGTGGTTAATATTTTTAATGTTATCCTTTGGGCTATTGGAAGCCGGTGCAGGGATTGGCAGAGAGGGGAAGGGGATGGAAGCCAGCGTAGGGATTGACAGAGGGGGGGTTGCAGACCTTATGTCAAGTATTGTTCCTGTATCTATACCTTGCCTACACCAGTGTCAGAGCCATGGTCTGTTGACAATCATGTTCTTTCATTCAACTGCCCCCGTCTTTGGGGGGAAATTCTTTGCACCTGTCATATAAAACCCATTCAAAAAGGGGAATTTGTAAAAAATAATGAAGGACATAGAAACCAAAATGTCCCGCCCCCACCCATATTTTATTGGTTGGCATGTTCATACAGAGATATAAAAAGGCGCAGCCATCGCCGAGGGCAATCCAGTTCCAGCTAAATCCAGAATTACTTTTAAAAAAATAATATAAATGTCACTTCCTCTCCATCTGGCAGCTTATTGAGATGTATTTTCTGAAAACGAAGCCGATCCGGAGGGTAAACAGCTTCTGTTTATTATTATTTGTGAATAATGATTTTAGAGAAGGGCCAGGAGGTTCTATAGTCACGTACCTGCCTTGTAACATTCTTCAAATGGAAACAAACATGGTTACTGACAACAGACCAGACGTGTCATGGTGAAAGGTTGATGCAAGCAAGGGTGGTGGTCCAGGTAATTTAAGGTCACGTACATGAGATTAGGAGTTTTTGGATATATTTGGGTCAGATTCAAATTAAATATTGCCCAAAAATGTGCTACAGCGTAAATACAGGTCATGTTACTTTTAGGTCTTGGATAGAGCGGGGGAGAATTTGGCACCCCACCCAGGTTTGTAGGGCTATTTGCGATCCTGCTGCAGAGATTGTCGCTCTCTATTTGCCCTGGTGGTCATGGTCACCGAGACAAAGAGTGATGGGGAATCCAAAATCTTAAAGCTGCCACCACAGCAGTGCAGGAGAATCTTCTAGTTAGAACAACTGTTCCTGTGACAACAATGGCCACAAGGCCTGCAATGTCTAGCACTGTCACTTCTTTGCATGAGCACGTTTACCCCACAGATGGAGTGTGGGGGTTCCTCCAGGATGCCTCCTGATGTCTGGGGGAGAGGTTTTGGGGCCTTCAGTTTTTTTTCCTCTCCCCACCTGGGGTTATCTCTACAGAAGAGCCCTCACCAAATGCTTCAGCTGGTGCCCAAGGATCAGGGTCAGTCTTGTTTCAGCCTAGGAAGACTAAGGTACTCTGCCCCTTTCAGGAGCGTTGTTACCCAGGATGTTCAGTGATTCAAGGCCCTTTCTCTTATAGAAGGGCCACAGCACCTTTTTGTGGTGCGATTTCATGTAGTGCAGCAGAATCTTTGAGCGGAGACAGCGTTTCCCGTGATAACTTTGGCCTAAAGGCCTCCCGTGTCTAGCACTGGAACTTCTTTGCTGAAGCACCACAGATTGAGAGTGTGGGTTCTTTTGGGAAGCTTCTTGATGTCTAGTAAGAGGTTCTGTGGCCTTCAGGTCTTTTTTCTCTCCCCACATGGGGGACTTTCTTCAGAATAGCCCTCCCCAAGTACTTGGTGGAGTAGTTTCAGCTGGTGCCCAGTGATCGGGGTCCACCTGGTTTTGCCCTAGGTGGACTAGGGTACTTTGCCCCTTTCAGGAGACTTGTACCATCGGGGTTTCAGGGATTCAAGGCCCTTCTTCAGAGAAGGGCTACAGCACCCCTGTGAAGTTTTTTTTTTTGTGGTGCGATTTCACACTTCATTATTTTTTGTTCACAGGGGTTTGTGTAACAATGCACGCAGCACGGAGATTCAAAAAGAAAAAAGACTATAGAATAAAAAGTAAATCCCTCTATAGAATATAATTCTCATCTATTTCCTGCTGTGTTTCCAAGAAAGAAAAGTGAAAGTAAAATCTCCCAGCGGGTCACAGGCAGCAAAAAATAACCTGAGACTTACCCGACCCCAATGCTCGTTTACCATGTTGGGGGTGGTGCCAATGCGCTGAAAACAAGACATTGTTTCTTTTTTTAAAACTTTGTTTCAATAAAATTACATTTCATTCAGTTTAGTTTATTTTCGTCCCCAAGGCGGCCCATCGCCAATCCCCAGTGTAGTCCAGTGGGATGAGATAAGATTGAAACACATGTGCCCTATAACCAGAAGTACCGGGTATCATTGCTCTATCTTGGTTGCCAAACAGATCAGCATGGGAAGCAAGGTGTAAGCCAGTATGGGCTGCTGGTGGGGCCGCCATTAAAGTGAACTTGTCACTTTGCCCTGTTTACACATCACAGGTTCACTTTAAGTCTATTAGACTTCACTTATAAATTGAAATATCACTTTTTGATGGTCTGAGATGTTCCAGAGGTTTGATTCTTCTTTTGTATTCTATGTATCTCTTCAGTTGGGTAACGCCATCACTGAACGTCTTCAGTTGGGTAGCGCCATCACTGAACGTCTTCAGTTGGGTAGCGCCGTCACTGAACGTCTTCAGTTGGGTAGCGAGAACGTCTTCAGTTGGATCGCACCATGATTGCGGGAGGACAGAGAACATTACACGGATAGAAGATTGTAGAAGACTTACCCCTTCTTGTTGTAGAAGAAGATGAAGGTGGCCAGGCAGGCTATGATCAGCAGGAGGATAATAGGCATGACTTTGAGCAGCAGATATAAAGTCTCAGAGGCCTCTTTCTCTGCGGAAATAAAATAATCTGCATATTAATTACCTTGCAATTCAACCCATACAATACCTTCAACCCGAATAACCTGGGGAAGAATCAGTCTACAAAATACAGCACTGGGTATCAACCAATGGGATGTGCTGCCCATAGGGTAAATAGCTTTTGGCAATGGCCAATGGGTGCTTCCCAGGGGGGTGTGGCAGACCTGCCTCCTAAGATAGTGAACTTACCTGGAAACCGTACAGAAAACACAATGGGTTCCGTCCACGACCCATTGCCCGCCAAGGACGTCACTCTGATCCGAGCAGAATAGTTGCCGGGCTGTGCCACGTTGATGAAGACACCTTTGTGCTTTTTAAACTTCTGCCGGGAGACGCACACGACAGTCGACGGACCTTCCTGAAAAAAAAAACATGGCGGGTGTTCAGATATATGAACGGACATTAAAAAATTGCCACCGCCGAACCAATTTCCCCAAATCAATAAAGCCGTGTGACCCGAGTCCTACCTCGTTTTCAATCTTGTACTTGATCTCATATTTCAGGATTAAGGCGTTGGGATTGGGCGGCTCCTCCCACTCCATAAAGATGGCGGTGTGGCCAGAGGGGTGCCAGGATATATTACCGGCAATGTTGTCGGCAAGAGCTGTGTAGAGAAATGGAAGATGATCACTCGGCTGCCTGGGGATAGTCTGCGGACATAACTAGGTCACCATATTAAATAATAAGTAAAACTATACTCAGTAGATCAGGAAGTGAGAGAACACATACCGCCGTTCGCTTACTTCTCGATCGGTGACTGCAGGGATTGCCCCCCACTCCCTGCCATGGCTCACTGGCGGAACGGACGGGGAAGGGGGGCGGGTACAGCCTCTAGATAGGCAGAGCCAGCTGTCACCAGGGCTGGATTTACTCTCCCTGCCGCCCCAAGGCCAGGTTCCAACTGTCCTCCCGTGACCCTTAGGAGAACTATGGGGAAAAGCCCTGACCCCATAGTTCTCCTTTTATTATTCTCCACTCAAAGTGGCTAAGAAGCTGATAGGGGGGTTATTCGCTGCTAAGCTCCCCAGCTCTTTGAGTTCAGCCATCAGCAACCTCATTGGTGACCACAGCAAATTGTGAAAGCGGGACTTTGAATTTAAAAAGGAGAACTACGGGGTCAGGTCTTTTCCCCATAGTTCTCCTTAGGGTAACGGGAGGACACAAACTAGCGTCCTCCCGTCACCCTAAGCTCAGTATATAGGGAGCTACAGCTCGCGGTATACTGAGACGCGTGGTTGCAGGCGTGGATGTCAATGCGGTACTGGGTGAAATGCCGGAGGTTGGAGATGACCATTCTCTCGCGGAAGATCTTGTCCTTATAGGTGTACGGCTTGAATTCCGCGCCGGTGTTGTTGGCGTGACTGATGGCGCCCTCTACGAATGAAGCGTTTCCGTGACCATCTCCACCCAACAATACATCTCTTCTCCTTCTAGGAGACCTGCAAAGACCAAGGCCAGTCACCAATCTGCACTCATCCATACTGTACGTCGTGTTAATAATTAATGTTTTACATTGGAAGTCGACGAAATACAGTATGGCGCTTCCCAACTTGACCGACCTTTGACTCCCTGGATGGCGTCCCACCCACCTCACTGACATCACTGGTTGGCAGGAGCCGAACGGGATGCTCTGGCTGGTGTCCCGCACAGCTCATGCCAACCAGTGATGCCAGTGAGCTGGGTGGGATGCCAGACACAGCCAGAGGTTCTGTGACG